TGAAAAGGTGGGTAGCTAGAAATTTTTTGTTTATAATTCTCAAATGTTATAGGTAGTTGGTATAGGAGATACAAGCTTCTTTGACAGGACCTCCCTTAACAACTGCCTTAAGTTTCCAACAAGTCATTTCTGCCATAACTGAGTGAAGAAGAAGAGTTCCCAAAGCTCTCTGTCCATGAATGAAATGTGAGCATCCTTGGGAAGTACATTAACATACTTTAAAGTGATCATATGGGCCAACAGGGAAAGGCAGCATCTTTCTACGAGTTCCCTTCTCCCACATGCATTCCCCATCCTCAAGAAAAAAAGTTTACATGACTCTGATTCTCTTAAGTAGCATAAAGGGTAATAACTATCATTGGTTATATTGCTGAGATGCTCAATTTCTTAAATAATAATCTTACAGGAAAGGCCATCATGGGTGTATCTTCATTACAGAAATAATTCAGGTTGAGACAATTTTAACTGCCGTGGCTTAATACTCTTGGAATTGTAGTTTGTTGTGGCACCAGAGCTCTCTGACAGAGGAGGCCATGTGTCTCACAAAACTACAATTCCCAGAATTCCATGGCATTGAGCCATGGCAGTTAAAAGTGGTGTCAAAATGGATTATTTCTGCAGTGCAGATGTAACCCAAATCAGTCTCAGATTTACTATAAATTATAACCATCTTTCACATTTACATAATATCACACCATGGAGATACAGTCCACTCTTCGTATCTGCAGGGGATCCGTTCCATGACAAACACCGCGCAGATAAAAAAAGGCAGTACCTTGAGTCCCACTGATTTTAGTGGCAGGTGTGACATGCACGTGGCCACATGCACACGCCCCCGTTCAAACCAACGGGGCTTGCCGTCCACAGATGGTTAAACTGGAGGATGGAAAGCTTGCGGATATCAAGGGCCCACTGTACAAACAAATGCAAAAGACTAAGTTAGGGCCTTTACAGACTGCCAGAAATAATGAAGCTTGAGGCCACTTTAACTGTCCTGGCTCAGCGCTAAGGAATCATGGGAACTGTAGTTTATTGTGGCACCAGAGCTCTCTGACAGAGAAGGCTCAATATCCCAGGGGGAAAAAAATACAATTCCCATGATTCCCCAGCACTGAGCCAGGACAGTTAAAGTGACCTCAATCTGCATTATTTCTGGCAGTCTGTAAAGGCCCTCAGTGTCTCTAAACACAAAATTATGATTATTCATAAAATTTCAATAGACAATTTCGAAAAAGTTTCTTCCTATGCCTTATACTCCATGAAACCACAAACTGCCTAGCATATTTATGCTACAACATCACAACATGATGTTTGAGAACACATTAGGGAGATCAACAACATCACTCCAAGTCTTGTTCCAGAGTAAAAACAGAACAGAAGTGCACGCATCCATTTAGAACAATAACAGATGTCCAGAAACTATTTTTGATTTCCTCTATCTACGGAGAGTGCAGGCATTAGAAATAAAGCCCTACGAAAGAAAGAAGGAAAGAAATTCACCCAGGAAAGTGACAATTATACATACTGAAAACTGGTGGATACTATGAACTCTACCTAATGTTTTAATTCAGATTTACCTTCACTCACAAGAGAACATTTAAATATTTGAAGGGATGTCATATCGAGGAGGTAACAAGCTTGTTTTCTGCTGCTCCAGAGACTAGGACCCGAAACAATGGATGCAAGCTGCAAGAAAAGAGATTCCACCTCAACATTAGGAGGAACTTCCTGACAGTAAGGGCGGTTCGACAGTGGAACACACTCCCTCGGAGAGTAGTGGAGTCTCCTTCCTTGGAGGCCTTTAAGCAGAGGCTGGATGGCCATCTGTCAGGGATGCTTTGATTGGGAGTTCCTGCATGGCAGGGGGTTGGACTGGATGGCCCTTGTGGTCTCTTCTAACTATGATTCTATGATTCTATGATCCATGCTCAATATATAAAATTCTAAGCTATCTAAGTCTGATTCAAGTACATATGCCATGCAAACAGTGCATTTAACATTTCTATTAAGACTCTGGCAATATAAGGCAATGGTATCCTATGAAAATTAAGCTGAAAGAAATTAGATACTAGATCAGATAAAAATATGCTTAGTTTCTTCTCACAGAAACCGCTTCAGTGGCATTCAGTGTTACTTGACCTAGTTTTAATATCAGCACTGTGTCGTCATTCCCTTAGATAATTCTGTTAGAGCACTTGTGAACCTAGACAAGAGAACAAGCATTTTAGAGATGGACAGGTCACGTTCCTTCTCCTAATGAACCACAGAACTGGGTAAGGTTTTCAGTACCTTATATCATCTACTATCCAATACCTGACAGTATCTATTATTTTCTAGATGTTAACAGTCTGAAAAAGACTAGGGATGGGTGAGAATTTTGTTTTAATTTGTTATACTCCCCCACACACACATCAACATTCACATATTTCCTTATATTTATGTTAGAAAGAACTTGAGATGTAAACAGAATCAAGCATCAAAAAGCCCAAACTTACATTCAACTATTTAGGCCCAGAGATCCTAATCCTTTGACTCTTGTAAATTTAGGATTGAATCCCTGTGTATTCAATCACATTAGTGCTGAATTAGGCTTGCCACTTGTTTTCCCTTCTGAGACTCTTCATCTTTTAACAGCTATATGGCAGGCAGAAACAGTATGATCATCTTTAACTACTGAATTTGACTGATATGAATGTGAAATTTTCATTTTTGAAGAATTTATCAATATTCACAAATCAGATATCTGGGAAGGAAAGAACTTGAGATTTTTTTTTAAATGAATATGAGAGAAAGCAAAACTGATATATTTTCCCATCCCTACACAATTATGAAGTTTTCAATCCTGCATGCAGATGAAGATGTCCCACCAAACACAGGGGCTATACTTCTGAATAATTAAGTAGAGGATAATTCACTGAAATGCTCACTAGCAGTGAGCATCCTTCCCCTATATTCCCAACACAATACTCTCTGAGCTGTGGGTTTCTGCATGAGTAGCAGGGAAATGCTACAAAATCCCAGCACAAGAGGCAGAGATCAAGCTTTATAACAGGAGCTGAGACAACCACGCATTTTAGCTGCCTAGCTAAGTCACACTTTGTGGACTAGAGACTAGCAATCATCACAAGCATTGGGAATTAGCTCCTGAATTCAGATGATGTCATTCTGCATCTCACCAGAAACATGTACTGAGCTTACATGGCTAGTTACACATTACTATTTAATGCCCTTTAATAACCCAAGCCAAGCGAGTCTGAAGTATGAATATTTATGACTCAACTTACCAAAGTAAAAGAACAAAACAAATGAGAGCATGCACACTAAACCTAATGGTTTAGCAATGCCAAGCAGTATTTTATTTTTACTGAAAGGCATTGTTCCCCATGCCATTCCATGTCGTAACAGTCCCTCAGTAGCAATATATAGAGTAACCTTGGGTTTACAGAAGTAGTTGTGTTGGGTTCTTTGGATTACATCTTTACTTACCATCTCACTGCAAAATATGGAACAGAGTAAATATCACCATCCGTGACATCCACATACTCTTCCGCCCTGCATGTAATTTGACTTATTAACGTCACTTTACTTTCAATGAGATTCTGTCATCCTAACTGTGCATGGGACTGCCACTTTCACCTTAGTGCTGCTGCTCAGCATCCTTTACAGGCATAAAGAGTATTTTAAAATAATCAAAAACAGGGGTAGGCAACCTTAGTAGTATAAGGGGTATACCTT